CACCCCTCCCCTGGAGACTTACTGAGCTGCCAGGAAGATTCAGACAGCTTCAGTTGCAGCCACTTCTTCACAACCCTATGAGCTACAAACATAGAATATGATCTTACAGTCAGTACTTACCTGAGCAGCCCTAATAGTGTTACTGACGTGAAAAATCCCATTGCCTTTAGTTACTCTGTTCATTTTCATTTAAACTTTGCAGACTCTCTACTGCCAGAGAACTAGATTTACTCTCCTTAAAACCAGATGATGCCTGTGGGCTGGTGTTTGGTACCTCTGACATACCATAGAGGAAGCCACAGCCACTTGGGATGTTCTTGGAGCACATATACAATTTAACTCACTCCAGAATGCTATATGAAGGAAGCACTAAAATTACCCACCTATGAGAATAAACAAGTCCACCATGGAAATAGTTCTCTACATTTCCCCCTTCCAAAATGAGATGCAATTAGAAGTGCAAGAGGAAGTTTAGGCAGACAGGGTATAAATAGCCTGAGCCCAGGCAAGATGCTGGGACCAGCTGAAACCTATCTCCTGCAGGAGCATACATACTCTTGAGCACTTCGGATACATCAGTGCTCAGCCTTCCTGTGCTGAACAGTCTCCGAATTCCACAAGGGAAAAGAAGCCCTCTCTGCTCTAGAGTTTCCTGATGACAGCTCTTTTCTTTACTGGCTTAAAGACTGAGAATGCCCTTCCAGCATCCCTCCATCTAACTCCAAAGCGAGTTGAGCACAAATCCAAAGAAGCCATCTCTTTTCGCAAGACCTTCATGAGAATTTTCTCCCTATGGCTTTCCACGTTATTCTGTAAGTCCGTCTGCCTTTAGGATGACTTCGGCAACAAGCATAAGTGGAATATGAAGTGCTAAACTCAACTGTTTATTTTCATTGTCTTTAAGCTATGCAAAACTGTTTTCTCACTTCATTTCCCCTCTTGCTGAGAAGCGGCCTACACAACTTTCCAGACAAGCCAACTAACAAAACAGAGCGCCAACATATCTTAGTGTTTATACACAGTCACATAACAAAATTCAAAATGTCTGAGCAGACTTCACATTAATTGAACATACTTTAGATAGGCTCTTTATACTCCCAAGTTAGAAGGTAGAAAGTAGGGGGAAACACTTTTGAATGACCTCATGACAAGAAAGCAAATTGAAAGCTAGGTCCTGAAACCACAGTCTAACAGCATTCACATGAAGATGGAGTGTTCAAGGGACAAAGCCTGGAGAGAACCAAAGAAAATCAATGTGCCTTCATAGAATCACAGAATGGTTTGGGTTGGAAGGGACCTTCAATGATCATTTAGTCCAACCCTCCTGCCATGGTCAGGGACATCTTTCACTAAGATCAGGTTGCTCAAAGCCCCGTCCAACCTGGCCTTGAACACTTCCAGGGAGGGGGCATCCACAACTTCTCTGAACAACCTGTTCCAGTGTCCCACCACCCTCATCATAAAGAATTTCTTCCTCGTGTCCAATCTAAATCTATCCTCTTTCACTTTAAAACCATTGCCCTTTGTCCTGTCACTACAGACCTCGGTAAAAAGTCTGTCTACATCCTTCTTATAAGCCCCCTTTATATACTGAAAGAATGCAATAAAGTATCCCTGGAGCCTTCTCTTCTCCAAACTAAACAACATCTTCCTTAGGAGATAAGATTCCCAGAGCCTTAAACAGCAAGCAACACTCTTGTAACTTTCATTTTCTGAATCATCTGATGTTTTGACTGGACCAGAAACAAAGAGGACACACACCATGTCTATGGGTGGATGAGCACCGCTCTTAGCGCTGCTACAGAGGGAAAACACATTCAAGGAAGTATCTGTCCCTACTGTCTCCCCAGGGGCTCACCCCACCTTTTGCCCTACACCATTACAATTATTTCCGTAGCAGCAGAGGAAAGCCCATCAGTCAGCAAAACAGCATTAATGACCATAACCCACAGACAAAAAATTGAAACTGAACAAAGGTTTTAAAAGCTTTCTCAAATTGATCACTTGAGTAAAAAGTGAAACACTGGATTATCTCAGCTGTCGTTAATTTATCAAAAGCTGAAAATCCATACATAAGCTCTTGGTATAAACAATGCATAAGTTCAAGATAAAGGACTGAACATCGCTGTTGTGCTTCCAAGAGATAAGAGCGCACTTGGGTTCAGATCAAAATAAAACTCAAACTAAAGCAATTTTGCTATCATCACATTATCTGCTCTCTCCTAAGCTTGAAGTTTGATATATAGAGGATAAAAGTGCTCCTTTTCCCACTCACTCATAAAAAAGGGGAAAAGAAAATGAAAGAGGATGCAAAAATTGTAGAACAGTCTTTTTCAGGCTTACACAATCAGCAGTTCGTGTAGCTCATTAACCTAAGACATCAAAGCCAAAAGCTTGGCAGCATTCACTGAAGGACATTTACATTGGTAATGACGGCTGACACCTAGAACAACAATCTCAACACCCACCAAAACTGGGGGAAAAAACCCAAACCAAAAACTAAAGAAACCCCAAGATATTCCTTGTTTTGAAGGCCAAGTTTAACTTGTATAGGAAGACCTAACAACCTTGTCCCAGATTGTATACAAAGTCTGTTACAAAGAGAACTATGAGAGACCTTGTACTGTAGATGTGTTTGAGAAGTTATTATGTCTTACACCACATGGCTTTGAAACGACAATTTTTATATCAGCTTGGTTTTTCCTCTCTAATGTTTTAAATACCAAGACATTTGAATAGACCTTTTGGAATCAATGTTAAATATACTATGAAAGAAGCTTGAGGAGGCTTGTTTTGTTTTATAAGCAAGAGCTCTGTGAGATGATTATGGTCTGATTATGGAACAATATTGACAAATTTTAAAATGGCCAATGTATTCAGCATCTGTAAGATATTGTGTCTTCAGATTCCATGTCTTTTAAATTGTTTTTACAGGATATAACAAAAATAACAATGTGAACTGCTACAAACCTTATCTTGCTTTTTATCTTCTGATTCATTACTGGATAATCTTGTCTTAAGTTTCACTGAGCCTTCTTTAAAGATATCTCCAAACCCAATACCTCGGATTTTCTTTGGCTGTGCTGGTCCAGATCCAGGTTCACTCCCATTTCCTGGAGAGACCACAGGTGAGGTAGGACCACTGAAAACAGACTCTGAAAGTAAAAACAGAAAGAAAAAGTTGTTTTAATATCTGAAATTATTTGCTCTTCTGTGAAAAAAAAGTGGAATAACACAGCTGTGTGCACTGCTCTTGCTAAACAGCTTTTCTAGGAATATTATTGTAGCTGTAATACCTCACATTTGTTCTAGTTGTGTAATTAACATAAGACCATTTGAAGTGACACCAGTATTGCACTGAATACTCTGGCAACTAAGTCAGTAGATCACCAATACTTCTTGCTATTTCAATTATCACTGAGGCTCCACAGTCTATAAACGTCAATGTTATGTTTTCCATTAGTTTTATGAAACATTGCTTATGCATTCTCTGAAGACGTGTTTTTAGTCCAACATTTAAAAGCTTGTCATTTGCACAGCTATAGCTGCTGAAAGCGATAATCAATAAAGGTCCACAGTGAGTCCTACCATGTTTCTACCACGTCCAATCACAGCCACAGGAAAAAACAGTGTGTTTCAGTGGTAGAGTGATGCTTCTCAAGGCACCAAAGTGAAATTTCCTATTGCTCAAAATGCACTATCAAAAATACCTGAAAAGAGTTTCTTGCAAATTTATTTAAATAGCTTTTTAACCTGATAACCCTTAAAATCTATGTTAAATGAGTTAAACATTCAAATCAGGTATAGTTGTTTGAGATAAATACTTGTTATCTACCAGTGATTAAAGATTCCTTTAATCTTTTCAGGTTTTTTTGGATAAATGGACAACATTTATCCACCCCCAAAAAATGTAGTAGACTTTTTTTTTTATTATTTTTAAGTTACAGTCAAATCTGTTAAAACCTACAGACTAGTATTCACGGGCAAGCTATTTCCACATGCAGAATTCCAGGAGATAGTCATGTGAAAATAGACAGCTTTTATAAACCAAATTAAAAATAGCCTCCACATCTTTTAGCCTGTCAGTTAAGTTCTTCCCAGTGTATGCATCCCTGGGAATTGCAATAAAGATTAAAGCCTCTTCCCTCAGCCATAAATTTAAGGGGTTTTGATAATACCGCAAAGTTACATAGCCTCTTGACTTCAGTTTCTCACCTTTCCTCCACTGAATTACTCTTCACTTAGTTATATCCCTTTTCGATATCTAAAAGGATAGCTAGAAATTTCATTGATGAGAAAAGTCCAGGTTGCACGTTTGAAAGACCATAGCTCAGTGAATGGGGCATTTACAGTTTCCCAGGAGTGATGAAAGAACTAGCAGATACTTAAGATCCTGACCGTGAAAGTACTGAGCATTAAATAAAACCCCTGGGGGTGTGAGGGGCTGAAAATCATAACCTGTTAGTTACTAACAGAAAATACAATTACTTCAAATTACTGTGCAGTTCCACTAATCTCAGTATTCAGGAATTAAGACCAACACATACCCATTTGTAAATTAATCTCACCAGACCCCACTAAACTCAGAGAACTTTACCTCCAAGGAGACAGCCACTGAGATATTTCAGACTGCTCAAGTCAAACAACTCGTTTTACGCTACTGAAATTACTTCCACAATTTACAAAAAACAAAAACAAAACAAACAAACAAAAAAAACCAACAAGACAGACTCTTCTTTCCTATCTCTGAGCAAACCCTTGTTAGAAACAATCAATACTGAACACCTTTGTAAATGAGGGTGCACATTACTACAAGGGGGAGGGGGGGGGAAAATCACTTTTTCCCTTGAACATTACACAGCTAGCTTTAAGCATCGACTAACTCACATTAAGATGTTGTTCCCAAAGAACACTCCCATTCCAGCAGTATCATATCACAAGTCCCAGCCTTCAAACTGTCTATGAAGGCATGAATGCCTCTAAAGTGCAGTTTTAAGGGAACAAAGTAATTGCCTGTAAAGCATGCACCTGCCTGGCACCACTCGGCACTCAACTACTGTTCAGCCACAGACCATCTGCTTCTGCCCGAGCTATACAGTCGTAGCCACAAGGGAATGGCTAAATGGAAATACCGCCTTAAAAACATTTTATTGTTAGATTAAAACATAATAAAGAACCAGGGCCCCCTTCCCAGGATTCATTTTAAATTGAGGGTCTCTATACTGTTTTGATTCAATTCAAGTTTTAATTCTCAACTGACATGGTTAAACGCTTAAGTTTTCCATGTTAGAGAACTCATATCTGTGAGAATAAGACTGAAAAAAAGCTATTAAATGGAAGAATAACTTCATTCCCAATACTAAAAAAAGCTCAACACTGAATATGATAAGATTTCTAGTGATAAAATGCAGAATATACATTTGCAAGATCAAGACCTTGACTGCAATTTTATTAGAAGTGTATTGGGAGCAAGACAGGTATCTTCATACTCAGCATCAATATTTTCTAGAATGAAATTAAATACTTACCATCCTTAGGAAGCTCGAATTCTTTACAATTTTTGTTGTACTACAACCATAATACTCCAAACTATACCTGAGATCTAAAATGACTTTGCTAAGGGTTAACAACAAACAGAATACCACCTGTGTCATCCAGAGTGTCCTGTGTTTCTCCATCATCTGTCAATTCCAATTCTTTCACAAAGTTTGAAGGAAACAACCCTGCTTTGCCATTCAGTGTTCCACTCCACCAGCCTTCTTCTACCTGTATAGAAATATTTTGCACATTACCAATAAAGCAGAAGGAAATTCCTATCAATTCCATCCATACTTCATTTACAAAACTCTACAAACAACTTTGGGAAAGTTCAAATGACTGTGATTTCTCTTTAAAGAAACCTACCAAAGATGTAGAAACAGTAGGCAAAAAGAAAAGCAAGAAAATAATTTACTGTCACTTCTATCACTATAGCAATGATCCTGAAACATGAGACTAGCCCCATGCCAATTAATCCAGAAAAGCAGCAAAATATTCATCAGCTTTCTAAAGGTAAGACAGAATAATAGGCATTACACATGTAACAGAAGAAGAAAATCACAGAATGGTTTGGGTTGGAAGGGACCTTTAAAGGTCATCTAGTCCAACCCCCCTGCTGTGGGCAGGGAAAAATATTAAAACTGTTTATGAAATAAAGATGCAACTTTTAGCCTGGCTTTCTAAGGAAATTTTTATATATTCTTGCTGTCCATCTGTCTTTTCCTCTGTCTTGTCCAGTTTCCAGCAGTCCTATTCACACTGGCCTCGTATCCATTGAACAGCTTCAGACAATTCTGATCAAAAGACACAAGTTTCAAAGATACAATTTCTACAGATAATGTTGGGTAGAACAGAGAAAAGTCCTTAAGGACATCACAGAGTAATGGAAAACTAAGCTGTCCATTCCTTCTAGCAGGAGGCAACCGGCTGAACAGCATATGCCTAGCTTTAGAGGTGTCAGAAGGTACGGATACGTTCCCCATCAGAGCTGGCCAGCCAACAACGGTAGCCAAGACACACAAGGATTTTGTGGTGGCACACAGAGCAGTCCTAAGGATAGAAGTCTGTTGGATGCCAAATTTTGTTGGCTTTGCTATTCACAAAACAACTCATTTTTGCACTGGAAATAAACCTGTTCAAGAATTAGGAAGCATAATGACTCTAACGCTCAGTTATGTGCTTGGATTCCTGGTGTGTCATTTACACTGCAATACTCCAAAATTTAATGGAATGTTTGTCAGGAATTCCTCACAGTCCAAAGCAGAACAAGCAAAAGCTGGGCATGCATCGGTGAAGGTGTAAAACAATGCCAGAAGACTGAGTAAGAATTGTGCTCTTCAAATTTATGAACAGTTTTCAAAATGTCTTAAATAAATCAAATGTATTTGCCTAATGAGTACTACTTAAAAATGGTAATTAAGATAAATTTTCATAATGTTTCATTTCAACTGCTCTGTTTTGGGGTTGGAAAGCTGTTTTTAGATAAGAAAGAAAAGCAACAGGGAAAAACAAAACAACAACAGTTGTTTACATTATCTTTTTTTAGCCTTCTTTTGTAGGTTCACTACGCCTGACACACAGGCATAGTTTTTAAACGCTAGCCTACCTCCAGGCAACCAGAATGCATGCAAAACCTGGCAGCTACAGAGACAGACAGGCAATGAAGAGAGCATTGTTATTTTTAAAGACATCCTGGTGCTCAAATATAGCTTTGCTGTGGATGGTTCAAATTCAGAGTCTGGTCCTCTGAAACAAATTTTAAGCATAGATCCCTCACAAGTGCTGACCAGGCTCCAGCGGCTCGTGCTTTACAAAATACATTACAGAAAACTAAAATTCAAATGCCTTGACTCACCCATACTACACCCAGGAGCCATGAGAAAGGGACTTTTAATGCTTACGATACGGAAAGCGACTCAACCATCTATTTATTCTTCTGCCAAGAAATATGGTCAGCAAAGCACTTTACAGACTTGCAAGGCAAAGCGATGCCAGTTCAGAGACAGACAGGAATAAAAGAAATTTCTTGAGTGTACTTGCTTCAGCCTCCTCACCACACTGTCTTTAAAAAACCTGACTATATACAAGCTGTATTACCAGAAAAGGTATCTTTAATCGATATTAAAAAACAGGTTAAAGAAGTTCTACACGCTTTGGTGAAGAGCATCTGCGCATCTCTGGGCACTAGCAACACAGATGACAATTTCACAACTCTTATCTTCCATTTCAAAATCTTACCACGTGATACAATTTCCACAAGAGGGAGTTACAGGTCTGGTATGCATATCGGTACTTTTTTTGAGTGTGAATTCCATCAACTTATTTCTATAAGATGATGAAATCTCAGACTTCTAAACAAAGGGGGGGAGGGGGAAGGCTGAAACAAGCAGTTTTGCCAATCTGAGTTTTTTTTTTTTAAATAAAAACTCCACTAATTGAGTTATATGAATTTCAATTATGCTTGACAACACAGCATGCAAATACTACAAATGTAATACTACAAAAATAACTCTATTTAGTGCCGCATCTGACAAGAAGATATGAAGGAGAAACAAAAGTTTTACAGCAATGATACAGTTATTTGTCGTGTTTTGCATGCAAAACTCACATGTTCTGTAAACAAAAAACCCTGTGGATTCAGCCAGCACATAGCACAAGGGCCTTCTTCCCTAAAAGCTACTTCTGATCCTTGTAGCCTGCTCTCTTCAATATTAGCCATTTAATTTCTGAACCCATCTGCCTCCACCTTTGATTTCATGATCAGTAGTGTCAGTTGTAACTACTCAATTTATGAAAACAATTGCAAGGGCTAAATACTGAATTATTCTCAGGTAACTGGCAGAACTGATCCCCTTGTGGAGCTGATTTTACCTTATTTTCCCCATGAAAAAAAGTGACCAAATGATCTTCCATTGAACTAACAGTTACAAGTTATCTGCATATATATAAATAGCATCTTTTAGATATAAATGGAAGCAAAGATCGCCTCACAGTAGTGAAGACAAATTACCTAAGACAAGTTATCCCAGCATATTGCACAACCAATGGATGGTATTTTCTACCATTCTTCACATTTCTGGTCCATCAGTACAGTTTTGTGAAGCAGACCTAGCCTACACCCGTCAGGTCTATTCTAGACCATCATGAAAACAATGTGCAAAGAGCTCTGTGCTAGTAGTTAGCTGCAATATTTTTCTACGTGGTAGCATTTGCCTAAAAATTTGATTAACAGTTTTTCTCAGAAGTAGCAAAGGCTGGGTACTACAAATATGTATTTTCAAATCACTAGGAAAGGAAGAAGCATGGGGACTGACCAAAAAAAGTTAAAAGAATAAAATAAAATCCCTGTCTCCTTAAGAAACCAGATAAGGAAATGCTTTGATCTTTTTATTCTGTTTGGCTATTTGGTCATCTCTGATAGATCACACTGAACACCCCTCCCAAAATAATTCCAGATGTTGACATGTGCGACCCAAAACGGCAGCTTCTGCAATAGTTTACTGCACATGCTCTCTCTTGTAAATGCTCACGCACGACCATTCGAAGTCATGACTGCTGTGTAGAGGCACTATCCACAGATTAAGCCGGTGAGGTTATCCAGGAGCACTCCTTTACAAAACATCCACACACAATGGTATTTATGAAACTGTGATTTCAGTGAGCAGGTTTTACAAGCCACTTGCTCTGTTTATTCAAAGATAAATTCTAGAAGTCACTAGTGCAAATGCATCTAAAAGCATAACTTTTTCCTTGCTAGCAGAACAGAAAAGTCCTTCCTGGCAACTGTCTGGATCCTGGATAGTTAGCACTCTCTTCAAAAGAGGTCATGCATCTGAAAAAACACAGTCTCAAAGCTACTTAAAAAGCACCACCAGACACGTGGCTAGAAAGAAAGATTCGATCTTCTTCCTCCAGCTCTCAGGGAGGTAGTAAGAAGAGATGGCACCTGTGAAGGTCAGAGCATGCCGTGCAGAAGTTTTCCACCTAGTTCTGAAAAGGTTCCTTCCATGATCGCTCTGATCTTTTCCACAAGTTCCCCAACAGATTCAGCTCTTTTAAGAGACACTCCTCCCACATATTCAAGCCTCCCACAACACAAGTTGCTATTGAACGGAACAGATATCAAGGAAGCACGTAGGTAGGAAAAGAAAAGAAACCCCTACCCCTAAAGCCCCTCTGAGATACATGGGCCATTGCCATCAAGTTCTGAACATCAAGACAGATCTTTACATTTCCTACCCAGGGGAAAATGAAGGCAATAGAAACAACAGCATGTTGCTGAGTGCATTTTAATGTTCCGTATTTTTCTGCAAGTGAGTTGAAGTATGTTATACTACAAGTACAGGTTTTTGTACTGAATACTGTTACCATTAGTTCAAAGCTTTTAATGACTTCACAAGAAAGGACAAAACTGGAAAATCAGGTCAAATAACATTTTTCACCTAAATCAAGTTAGGGTATGTCAGCTTAAGGGAAACTGGTCAAACAGTTTTAGCATAAGCATCCTAAAAGTGAGGATCACATAGACAGGGCCAAAGAACAGGAAAAGACTTTCGAAAAAGGAGTCAGTTTAACAGATCACAATTTATTGCTGCAATGATCAAATACTTCCCCTAAACATCTAGTGTTCATTGATTTAGGATTAGATCCTGAGAGAAAGAAATCCTAAACTATTAGCTTCAGCTTCAAAAACACTACTTCCCATGCTATTTTTCCAACATCCTTGTAATTCAAGTAATCAACCAAAAAAACAATTTCACTTTTGGCCACGTAAAGAGACGATTGGCTCTCTAAAACAGCTTACCTCTTCATTGATGTCAATCACATCCCCCAGCCTGAGTTCCAGCTCATCCTCGTTCTGCGGGATGTATTCGAAGAGCACTTTGCACTGACGTTTCTTGGACCCTGATTCAAGGGAAATGGCAAAAGTAAGAACGCTTGCAAAGGAAAACTAGTTTTTCCTACACTCAAGGAAAGGATGCTCCTGAGGATCAAATCTGACCAGAACACCCATAAGCCATCCCAAAAAGTAATGTAGCTTTTGCTGCTGGTTTTCCGGTTTGCGTGTGTCACTTTAGGCTAGCAAGCTGTATCTTAGACAGAGCTTGAAAGCCATCAAGCTTCACAGACTGCCAATTACAAACAAACACACACTACCCTGCCAATTACCAACATGCTATAAAAAACATGTTGACACAAGCAAGTCAGATAAATCCCCAGTACAATGATTTTCAAGCTATTTCCTGACCGAAATCTGCAAGAATGACAACCGCTGCCAGTGGCAGTGTTAGCACTTGCTTGGAAGAAAATGTGCAAGTTTGAGCCTCCAGTCTTTAAGCAATCCTGAAAGAAATAACAAATGTTTTGTTCTGCACAACACTGAACTGCCGATAGCCTTTCTGCCCTCTAACAAAGACCTTGCTAACTACAGGTCTGAGGTAATGCTAACATTTGCTCGGCTCATATTTCAAAATCCAAACTCATTTTTGTCTGTGCAAAATGCAAAAAACCCTCTCTTTTCTCAGCGCCAGTAAGGAGTCGAGAAATGCAACCTAAGCTTCAATTAGCAGTGTTTGACAAAGGCAAAATCAAAATAAAGTGCAGTCTTTAGATGTTTGCCACATATCATTAACTCTTTACAGGCATTAAAAAGACAAAATGACATCCTGAGAGGGGAGAGCATTGAAGTGGCTTCCAACAACCCCTCCAGCCAGAGCAGCGTGAACCTACATTGCCCAATTCCACTGCACATACCCTGGAGTGATGCTGCTACTGAACCCGGAGAGTTTAGGCTTTTCTCCTTCAAACAGGAGGCCATGCCTTCAGACCTTTTCCACAACAGAACAGCCGGCATGCTTTTGAAGGCAATTGTCATCCTGAGCTATGACCCACACATGCTCCCTTATCCTTCTCAAAAACAGTTTAAGTGAAAATATGAATCAAAAGCTTGAAGTGGCAAAGCTTAATCTTGTAGGAGCTGTATAATTCCCATACTCTCTCTTATACTTTGCAGTCCTTCCATACTCAAGCTTCAGCAATTAAGATTAGCTGGGTAAAAACATTTCAAAACACAGATACTGCCTCTAAGATTGATCCTTGTCTTACTATAGCAGTGTTGAAAGCCCAAAGTCAGACATTTAAAAGACCGCCACACCCAGCGTCCTCAGTACAAAACACACCAGGCATCTGAGTAATATTCAGCATCTAAAATTTCTCAGAAAGGGCTCACCAAATCAAGAATTTTCTACAGGCTGGTATATGGTCTGTGCTCTAAAGAGCTTAAAAGGGGCAGGAAACAAATAAACCAAAAGTATGAAGCTCTATGGGTTATTTCTAATAACACATAATTGCCCACATAATACACCTTTCTTTTAAGTCCACTGAAACTCATACATCAGCCAAGAGGGATTGTTAGGTTAACAATAATTTTAATAAACGGTTCACTGGCCTTCACTACCTCCTACAGCGCTTTCAGAGCTCCTCCTTTGTATGAGATTAACTGATACCAAAAAAAGGCAAATTAAAAAGTCACAGCCATTTGGTATAAATCTGATCTGAGCATTCCTTTTCATATTGTAATTCTATCTAAATGGGGAAGAGGGGGAGAAAAACCCACAGATGCATTTCACATCCAGACCTCTCTCTCACCTGAGGTCTGTTTTCAGTGATACCCAGTTTAGGAAGTACTGCCTTTCAGTTTTGAAAAATCCCTAGATTAACCTAGGAAGCTAACCAAATGGCTCAGAAAACACCAGTCCAGCTTCATGAGGTGCTGCAGGACTGCTAGGCTGGCAGCCCTCAGGCAATTCTGTCCATTTCCAAAACAACTTGTCTGGCTTCAGGTTTTGTTTTGTACTAGGTAAACCAAATTTAGCCCTTTGTTGCCGTAATTTAGCACACCTTCTGTATTTTCCTTTTCCTGAATAAAGGCAGCCATCTAACTGATAGGAATACTGCCTGCAGCTTACTACTCACCTGATACAAAATGCCCGAATTCAGCGAGAGCTGCTCATGAGAAAAACACAAGGGACTTCCCAGGCAAAGACAACCTTACTGCACACTAGAAACTTGCTATTAAAGAAGCTTAACTTTGTTTTTAACATTGTAAGCCTCATTTTACCAGGTTAGGAACCAGAATCGGAAAGACGACTAAGCACTGGAAACCCTTTGAAGGGAGTGAGCAATTGCCCAGGCACAGAGCAAACAGGATCTGCAAGAGCTGTTTAAACAGTCTTCCAGGAAAGAGGGAACAGCACGTAAAATGGAAACGCAGAGATTATCGTTGCGCCAGGTAAACAGTTGCGTGCTTAAAGGAAGGTGCTTGAACACCATTTTCCTCTAGGAGGATGAGACTAGCCAGAGCACCGCAGAGTGACACCAAGTTGTACCTGCTGCTCTGGTGTCGTGGTCTAACCCCAGTCAGCAACTGAGCACCACACAGCCGCTCGCTCACCCTCCCCCCCCCCGCCAGGGGGGTGGGGGAGAGAATCGGAAGGGTAAAAGTGAGAAAACTTGTAGGTTGAGATAAGAACAGTTTAATAATTGAAATAATAATCATCATCATAAATTGTAACGGGGGGGGACGACATGGACGACATCAAGGTGGGGAGGAGGGAGAATGGGACAGGACAGCAAAAAAACCAACCCACAAGTGATGCAATCGCTCACCACCCACTGACCGATGCCCAGCCAGTCCCCAAGCAGTGGTCGCTGCCCCCTGGCCAACTCCCCCCAGCTTATATACTGAGCATGATGTCACATAGTGTGGAATATCCTTCTGGCCAGTTTGGGTCAGCTGTCCTGGCCATGGTCCCTCCCAGCTTCCTGCGCACCTCCTCACTGGCAGAGCACAGGAAGCTGAAAAGTCCTTGATTTAGTATAAGCACTGCTTAGCACAACTAAAACATCAGTGTGTTATCACATTATTCTTATGCTAAATCCAAAACACGCACTGTACCAGCCACTAGGAAGAAAATTAACTCTATCCCAGCCAAAACCAGGACACCTGGCCACGGCCACACAGCCACCAGCACGAGGACAAGACATGCTGAATATGGGATCGTTCCAGGGTTAGGGAGACCAGAATGAATAGCTAACACCTGAACTGGCATCAGATCGTGTTCACAGAATCACACAATCCTAGAATATCTCGAGTTAGAAGGACCCACAAGGATCATGTTGATTCCCTTTCAGAGCCTGGTTGCATTAATCTAGGAACAGCATTAGTCTTTCAGGCTACATTTTCAAAAGCCTGCTGATGCAAACATCTAACAGGCACATACGCGCTGTTGCCAATATGCATATACAGATCAGATTCATTAAGAAGTAATTTTGAAGGTAACATCCTTAGTTGCCTAGAAGAAAGTTTCAACAAAGTTGTAAATCTAGTGGTCCCATTTCAGGGCTTTAAAAGACGACTAGTGCCTCTTCTCCTTTTATGGGCAAAAACTCAAAGCATAAACATACCAGAAACAGTAAGTTCTGAATTCTTTCTTTTAAAAAGCAAGCTTAAATCATAAATGCCTGCAATCTCTTATAAGAGAGAGGAAGCCAGAGTAATTTAAAGCAGTGTCTGTTGTAAGACTGAGGTGTCCAAATCCAAATCACATAGCAATTTTCTGGATGCAGGGAATGCCATTTTCTACTCTACGTTTCAGTCATCTTGATTTAAATACTGGCATTAAAACATAGGAACCACAGATACCAAGGCACCAAGTCTGTACTCATGAGCATCCTGGGGGATGCAGTTACAACCAAAGGAAGACCACCAGTTTTTCTTAGACACCACTAACTCCACCTTATTTCACACTAGAAGCGAGCCTACCAAACAAGAAGAACCTGAACTACAGAGTGCTTCCTTGTCACAAAGCCTTGAATTTGTAGCAAAACTTTTGTTTAGAAGAAATGACCACAGGAAGACTTTTGATTATCATGAACAGGCCTGCAGCTCTCATTCAGGTACCTGACAATACAAGCAGAGCTTACATAGTTACAGAGTAACTCTGGAATCTGGATGGGGTCTAAATCCTGTTCTCAGGAAAATTCATCCCTATTGCTGCTGTTAAGAACTACATACAAGCTTTCTGCCCACGCATTCAGGAGCAGAATTTGGCTTAGAATCGAAGTTTTTCCTCCTGTGTCTCTAGTTTTCCGCATAACCTTAAAACTAAGTCAGACATTAAATAATTCATATTTATTAAAAAAATGCACATCAGCAGCTTACACAATTGAAGGAATGGAAAGACTACATACTCTTCTTGAAGCTTTTGGATGGGGGATGAGGCTGAAATCCTCCTGCCGGAAGCCCATAGCTGCTCATACGCTGCACAAGGCTGGCTACATTGCCAGATTTCTCCCTCCTGACTGGTACGGCATCATCCTTGGGCTCTACATCCTTCTTAACTTCCTGAAACAAGAGATTTAAAAGACTGAGAGGCCATTTAAATTACCCAAGAGGTCAGTGTTTTTAGACAGGCACTCCATAGACTAACAGATTTCAGGTACTTACCATTTGGTGTGTAATGATGTATTATACTCAAAAATCATGGCATCCTGCACCTAAACCTACTAAAGGCCTTAATAAACTTGACCCTTCCATACAATCATGTTAGTAAACAGGTAAGCTGATGTGCTGAGAAAATTCAGAAACAGGGGCAGTATTTTAGCCATCTGCTCTAACCCTAAGAAAAGTAGCTTTGAGCCCAGAAGCCCCATATTACAACTCTTAATTCACAGCTCATATTTCAAAACATTTTTAAAAATATAAATATTACTTCAATGACAGACCTATAGGGTAGGGCACTAAATAAAATATTTTTAGTATACAAAACTGTATTAGGTGATCATCTCTGCCTCAGAAAGCTCAAAGGTTGTTTACAGACAAGATGCAATCATACTGCTGAGAGACACAAGTGGAAAAGAAAGAGAGATACAAGAAATACAGTGGGAGGAAGTGAGGGGAAAGGTGTAGGAGGAAAGTAACAGACATCGTTTTTCTGATAATTGTCTCCCACCTTCCTATCTTTCTAAATTAAGGTGTTAGCACTGGAATTGAATGTGTCAATCAAGACTAAGAAGCCTATAAATAAGAAAGCATCAGTTCTTGACAGAAAAGGCCATGCACGCAGCAGTTACTCTCCTGCATCAGCTCATTAAATGATATTCCACCGGAGAACAGATACTCTGAAAGAAGGAAATCATCGCTTTGCACAAGAAGAAACACATTAAGTCAGATCAACGGCTCATCTAGTGCAGAACACAGCTCCCAGCAGCCGCAATCCCAGACACTCTTTAGAGAGCTAGCCTGCAACGCAGATCCTCCCACATTCCCAGAGCACCCATAAGGGTTTCATTAGGGAGATACATCCCCTCCTCTCTCCCTTTCATGTCTGCAGATGAAGCTGTCTAATCCCCGTCTGCCTCCACAGCTTCCTTGGGGATAGACACCAGATATTCGCTCTCTGCTACGTAAAGAAGCTCCTCTCTCCCATCTGCTTTAAGCTGACACCTTACTAGTGCCAGTGTGCGCTCCCCACCACTGCATTTAGTTTATCACTACCTCCACAGCTGTGTAAACCTTGATCATATCCCCTCCTTGGCTTTAACCTCTCAACTGAAGAGTCCCACCCTTGCCAGCCCCCATCTCACCAGGCAGCTGCTCCATCCCCTTAAACATCTAGCCGCCTGTCCCCATCCTGGTCTCAATAGATCTGATGACACCTGGCATCCTGACGGTGTCTTGGGCTGTCGCTGCACACAGAGCTGAGGATTTCTGAAAACTGAAAGCCGCGCTACCAGATATTCATGAGCTCATACTCAACTCTCAACTGGCAGTTCCATGTAGGCGTGGTATGGATTACCTATTCTTATACACATTACTTGGTATTTACCTACCTTCAAGCTCACCTGCCACCCCTTTTTGCCTGCTCAGCTCCTTGCCAACAGCATGGCATTGGACTACATAAGAGTTTAATAGCACTCACAGAATGGGAGCGTCTGCTGTTAAATCCCCTCTCCAGATGACCGCAGATGCTGAACAAAGCCAGTACCACAACCAGGTCTTGGGGGATCCCATCGCTGACCCTCCTCTATCCTGACAAGTCACTGACAAGTCCTTTGCTTCTTATTCTTTAAGCAACTTCCAATCCATAAAAGAATTTTTCCTTCAGTCTCAGAGCAACTTCATTCCTTCAATAACTTGATGAAAAACTTTATGATAAAGACTTTCTGAAAACCCAAGTGTGTTACATCCACTAAATCTCATGTGCCTGTGTGCTTAGCAAGACCCTCAAAGCCCGTCAGCTTTCCCACCACCACAGCATTACAATGTCTTGAGAAAAGCAAAACACCCATAAGTACTTTGCAGCTTTTCGTGATCCACTTCAGAACAATTCTTGCATCCATCAACAGTAGCCACTGGTTAACAACTCCACTAGTTATTTCAGCAATAAAATATTTAATAATATTGAAAACAATATTGGCTATATATATACACACACACACTCTCGTATTAATGTCATGTGAACTCTTAAACATGAGCTTTAAGACAACAAAACCCATGCATTGATGAAATGCCAAAAAATGAGAAGCATACTCAACAGGACCTCTCCGGTGCTTTCTGGAACATTAAAACCCAGGCTACTTACTGCAGCTGTCCAGCTGGAAAACAGCAGGTCTGGAAAGCTACTGATGCTTTCAAACAAACTACAAACCTCAAGTCAAACAGTCCAAAGCACCTTCCTATTTCCCGAAAGAGCAGAGCAAGTCGAATAAGCCAGACTACAGACAGCACAATTTACGTTCCCACTTCATCTACATTACATAAAGAGGCTTTTCAGAAAACAGGTGAGTAGTTACTGCTGTTACTCTCCATCCGCAGACACTTCTGCCCTGGAGATCTTAGTTCTGCCGAGATCCCATCTTCCAAGTCAAAAAAAAAAGCTCCAGAATAGCACAGCATCATGTCTACCTCCCATTTGAGTAGACATCCCACATTTCAAAGACTTTGTAATTCTCAGTCTTACAGATGTTTTTTGGCCAGTTACTTGCAAGTCTGCTAAACCATGAGGAATTAAATTTGGCTACAGCTGAAAAGTTTGCCACCTGCAAAACACCCTTTTAGCTGCCTTGCTGACAAGGCCATTGTGCTCAACTGAAAAACATATTGGCACTTGAAAACTTGCCTAGCATGGATATGTCCCTGGATCTTTAAAATTATAATCTTTTGCTATGCAACTTACACAGCCTCCAAAAGCTTCCACCTGCTCCAGGAACTAATGCATCCCCAGTTAACCGGTTTCTCAATTGCAACGTGCTCTGGTGAAGAGTCAGCTCCAGGCTCCTTCCCCAGGTTTGCACTTCGCACAAGACTTCAGAAGTGGCTGCTGCAATAATTTTGTGAAAAGCAGAGATGCAAAAGAGAAGTCGGAAAGACATACACAGGCAGCCTGGTCAAAAACATGACCTACTTCTAACAAATTTAAAAAAAAAAAAAGGAAAAAAACCCACAAACCACTTCCAAATGCTAGAACAGGCTGTACGGTAAGCATCACCTTTGTCAGTAACTTCTAGTACAATATTGTGGTTTAACCCCAGCTGGCAACTAATCCCCACACAGCCGCCTACTCACTCCCCCCCAGTGGGATGGGGAGAGAATCAGAAGAACAAGAGTGAGAAAACTCGTGGGCTGAGATAAAGACAGTTTAATAGAGAAAGCAAAAGCTGCGCACGCAAGCAAAGCAAAACAAGTAATTCATTCACTGCATCCCATGGGCAGGCAGGTGTTCAGCCATCTCCCGGAAACCAGGGCTCCTTCACACGTAACGGTGACTTGGGAAGACAAACGCCATCACTCCGAACGTGGCCCCCCCTTCCTTCTCCTGCCCCCAGATTTGCATGATGAGCATGACGTCACATGGTGTGAAATATCCCTTTGGTCAGTTGGGGTCAGCTGTCCCAGCTGTGTCCCCTCCCCACTTCTTGTGCACCCCCAGCCTACTCGCTGGTGGCGTGGGGTGAGAAGCAGAAAAGGCCTTGACTCTGTGTCAGCACTGCTCAGCAGTAACTAAAACACCCCTGTGTTATCAACACTGTTTCCAGCACAAATCCAAAACACAGCCCCATACTAGCTACTATGAAGAAAATTAACTCTATCCCAGCCAAAACCAGCACATACAGAAAACATACTTTTAAGTCCAGCAGTAGTATCAAAGGCGGAAAAGTAATTGATAGGTTACAAACAACAGGAAATTATTTGAGACAGAAGCAGTGGCCACAACAAAAGACCAAAGAAAGACCCAAAGATGAAAGGAGGAATGCTTGAGCAACTTTCTTGCCTGGCTTGAGTCAGTAATTGAAGTGGTGACAGGTAGGAAATACTCAAAGTCTAACACAAGACTAGCAATGGCAAATATAACAGAAAATAGTGGAATTAGAATTATTTTAGATCTTATCTTTTAATCCGTGAGCAACAGTTATATGAAGAAAATCTTGCAAACAGACTCAAAGGCTGAAGATTTATTTAAGAATTTCATTAGCAGAAACCAGAAAGAATGATTGGGTACTGGGAGAGACTGGTACCATCAGACCTTCCTAACACAGCTAAGATATGAAGGTTGAATACTTCAATACACAGTTAAAAGAAACCTTCCTAATCTAAGATATATAAAAGGAAAGAGGATGCAAGGAAAAAAAATCAAGATGCCTATGTGAAAAGAGCAGGAGCAGAGACCTGCAAATAATCAGAAACAATTTGCAGTAAATAGACATGGGTAAAGAACCGATGCCAGCCACGCTTGAAAGAGTGGATGGTGACATTTTACTTCACGTATCTGAAAGCACACTGTGACCGTGACGTCAAGTGAAGCTGCTTTGCAACAAGGGGAAGAAAAATAACCTCTCGAGACTCTACCGCTACAGCAACCAGTGATAAATCTAGTTTTGACAAAGAACTGCAGAAGAAGGGGTCAGTAAGCACTGCATGGATAAGCCAACAACTGCTTTCTCCATATTTAACCTACTAACCTTTAGAACATCCTTGTAAAGTAAGGACTTTTTTTTTTCTTCTTGTTAAAGATGAACTGCAGCGTTAATTATCCTTCCTTAGGGCATTAAAAACCACATTAAATCCAAACTAAGTTAAAGCAAATTCAGGAATCCCTGGCCTCCACACCCACAGGCGTCCACTATACCACAAACCTATATTTCACATCAGTCCTCTAACAGTAGGAAACTGCTCTAAGATTCATTTTCAAAAGCACACGTCAGGATCCTCTGACGTATGTACCCATCACCACTGCCAGCAATCTCACCCTGAGCATCATCATTATGACTCTCTGACATTTTGCATGTTAAGATTTTACAAAGGAAGGAATTTCTAAACAAGACACATATCAGTTTGGATCTCTG